CTCACCGCTGTCTCCCCAGCAGCCATAACAAGGCCTGGCACGTGGTAGGTTCTCAATAAGTATCTATTGACTGAATGAATGAGGCACAAATAACGATGTGAAAAACTTCTTCCCCTTGTTCCCCCAAAGGGGAACAAAAATACCTAACCAGATGATCCCCAAATCATGTCATGGCTTGAGGATAGATTAAAGTATTTTATTCTGTTAGACCAAAGCAAATGCTAAGATGAATCTGTTTCCTGACACACCAGGGCTGACAACAGGGATGGTGGAGGAGGAAACACAGCTTTGCCTGAACCTTTTCCAGCTATGGGGACCCATAAACTGATTATGTTTCCTTCCGTTGGAGGCTCCTGCTGCCCTGGGTGCTCTGAGAGGTTGGGGAAAAGGGGACAAGTCCCTCGTCCTTCCCACAGGAGCACTGGGGAGACTTACGCTTCACATCCAGCTGCACCGTTTCCTGAGAGAGTAGCCCCCCTGCTGTGTCATTCCAGAGCTGGCAGGTCAGATTCTTGCCATGGTTTTCCCACAGTGGCTTGAATGTGAGCTTGCTCTGGGTGTAGACAGCCATGGTGGTCAGGGAAGTTGAGGTAACAGAGGTCTGTTGAGGTGACCCATCCAGGAACCAATTCAATTTGATCTCGTACCCAGGGCAGGAGAAATTCAGCAAGCAGGTCACACTGACTTCCTCGGACTCCTGGATTTCTGGAGGGAGCTGAATGCGGGGAGGAGGAGCCGTCTCTGCAAAAAAGTAGGGACCATGCTGGCAGCCTGAGAGTCTGAGGACCACTGTGCCCTAGCTTCTTACACCTGGCTTTAGACGCTCTGCCCTAAATAAACCCTCAGGAGCACCTTGCCACTCCATCCAGGCCTTCTTTTCTCTGCTCTGAACCACTTTTTTTTTTAAAGAAATGTTTGTTTGTTTTTTTAATTTTGTGGGGGAACAGGGTGTTTTTCCAGGACCCATCAGCTCCAAGTCAAGTAGTTGTTTCAACCTAATTGTGGAGGGCGCAGCTCAGTGGCCCGTGTGGGGATCAAACCAGCAACCTTGGTGTTATGAGCACTGCGCTCTAACCAACTGAGCTAACTGGCTGTCCGCCCCCTCCCCTCTTTTTTTTAATTGACTCACCCAACTAAACACCCTAGGTCTAGGCTGTTCACAATATATTATAAAACATTATATCAAATTTAAGTAACTTTTAAAAAAAGGAATATAAGTAAATCTCGTGCAAAATCTTCTCACCTCTACGTTTTAAATGTTTTCCATGTTCTCTTACAGTTCTTATTCCTGTGTACACACGTGTCACAGTTTAATTACAGTGGCCTCTCTAATCGACCCGACATAGTATCATCCACCCACTTACTGTTATCTAAATAACATATATGCATTATTGCCTCACTCAAAAGCCTTCAGTGGCTTTAATGGTCAGTCATGCAAGAATCAGGCAAATCTGTAATCGAATCCCAGATTCTCTACTTAAAACTGTGTGATTTGAGGAAAGTGTCTCAGTTTTCTTCACTATAAAATGGGAATCTTAATACATAACTTGAAGAGTTATTATGAAAAGTAGTGACACTTATCAGTGCTCAAAGAAGGGACAATGAGAGTATATCCATAGTCTATCTTAGAGTTTGCAAATAGGTGACTTTAGTACCTCCGCTCTTACAACCCACAGCCCACCACAAACTTTTGCTAATTGGTGGCCTGTTCTGAACCACTTTTGCTCAGCTGAAGCTCGTGAGTGCTGAGCCTCCTTAGGAATTCTATTTCAGATTTGTACTTATTTTATTCTCACTCCCAAATGTTTGCTTTCTAAATGTTTTCAAGATCACCCTCCCCACCACCCCTAAGTGAATTTCACCAGTTTAGTTCAACATGCATTTCTTAGCTTTGATGACAAGCCTGTGTTATTTAATGGTCTCACTATTGGAGCCTATTAAACATTCATTTAGGGGGTTCCTTTAGTAGAGCAGGCCTGTGGGCAGCCAATCCCAGCTCTCTCAGGGCTGGGCTACCCTCAGATTGCAGGGTCTGAAGCCACCTCTCTCAGCCCAAACATAGGGCTGCCTAGAACCACCCACTGAAGAAAGAGACTATGGAATGGAGTGAACACACTACCTGGGGTGGAGGCCCCAGACCTGTGTTTGATCCACCCCTTACACATGTGCCATTTCGACTTGAAGGGCCAATTAGAATTAATCACCAACTGTAACACATTGTGAGACTTCACTTGAAAATCTAGAGTTTTGTCTTCTCTTGAAAAATCAGGTAACCTGGAACCCAGGTTCCAGAATGGGCAGGAGCTGAGTGGCAGGTGGGATGCTTGAGGAGGGAAAAAGGCTCATGCACAAGTTGGCCACAGCCCATTGTCTTGTGCTGCTCGAGCCACTCACTGGCACCCCGTACCTGGCCTCTGCAGGCAACCTGGAGTCAGCGTTTCCCACTTCCCTCCTTGCCCGTGCCCATCCCCCAGAGCCTTACTGGAGACGTTGAGGACTATTTTCTCCATCCATTTGTCATCTTCTGATGTCATCCTCAGCCCCAGCTGACCGCTGTCTTGAGCTTGCACAGGGTGGATAGATAGGGTGCAGTCGGAGTTGCGGTTTCCCAGAAATTTTATCCTTTCCTGAACATGAGACTCCCCCGTCTTTGTCTTCTGGTAGAAGATTGGCCCCGTATAGTCCTTGTTATTTTCGTCATACGTATAATTGTGGTACACAGTGAGGTTCTCCATTAAATCTTTACTCCCTGGGATTTTGTAGCTGCAGGGAATCCAGATGCAGGCTCCCTCCCAGGCGTAGAGGGTGTCGGGGTGCTTGAAGTTCCACTTGTTTGAGTCAGAGAAAGCCAAGTATTCTGGAACGCAACACAGTGATCAAAAAGCATTGAAGGGCATGGACAGCTTTCAAAGGAATAAAGAATCCCCTCTGAAGATAGAGGGAGAGACACAAAGAGACAAAGACACAAAGACAGAAGCATATATACACGTGTCCACTGCCTGTCCTGACCCTACCCCACTTTTCCTCTCCTCTGCCCCAGCTCCTCTCCTCCAGTTCCACAGTCATCCCAGAACCCAAGTGCCAACCCAGGCCACAGTCCTTACCTAGGAGCAGGAGTGAGGGGCCGAGGAGATGCATGGTATTGTGTCTAGGCGGGAGCCTGGAGCAGGAAGAGTTTGTCCTTGAGTTATCTGGTCGCTTAACTCTTCCAGGTGTCTTTTCTTGCTCACCCACTGAGCTCTGACCCTTTTTCCCTGATCCCGGGAGGCCCATGTCTGGTTGCATGGTGGGATGTGGAATTCTGGAAGCACATAGGGCTTCCTCTGGCTATGCCATTACTCTCTCATTAGCTTGAGAACCCTGTTGGTCTAGCCTCTCTCTCTTCCCAGCACCCCTTTCTTTCTTCATTCATCCATCCATCCATCCATCCATCCATCCATCCATCCATCCATCCTTGTATAAACTTCCTGCCCAGCTCTCAGGCTTTGAGCAGCACCAGACAACTGAATGCCTTGAATACCAGGCACTGGGTAACTTAGAGCTGACCTTGGGGCAACTAATGAAGGGTTTTACATAGGAGAGAGACATGGCCAAACTTTGATTTTAAAGACCGGGAAAAAAATAACTTTAAAACCAATAATTAAGTATGATACCAGGAGAGCATTTAGAGGGGTCTGGTAGGACTTAGGAGAATGTGGTCCAAGGGTCCCTCTCAGATGCCCCCATGGGCTGGGTAGGGAACATAAATCAACCAGGTGGGTACAAGTGTTCATGGGTCATACCTTGTGTAAAGGCGATGACTATCTCAGTTCCAGCCGATTATTGCCAAGTGGAAATGTGGGCTCAACATTTCCTGATCTCCCACTGTTTTAAGAGAAGTAAGAAGCCAGATTGTCATGTGAAATGTCCTGCTTTACAAGAGAAACAAACTTGGTGAGGGTCAAACAAAACCTGTGTGTGGACTAGAGGCAGTCCAAGGCCCATCAATGTGCAGCCCTCCCCCCCNATAAGGTTTTCCTCCCGTCGCCCTCCCATGATGCAGGTGTCACCCTCCCGGTACCCTCAGTACCCAATTCTTGGTGTGTCAGTATTTCCAACAGGAAAGCGCAAGGTAGCGTAGCTGATGGTGTCTTCTATCACTGGATTGTAGCAGCCCAGGGTGTGGGGGCCTTCAGCAAGGGGGGCCCTTGGAACCTGGGAGAGAGACAAGGTTTCAGCTTTCATCCCTCCCTTCCCCACCCTGGTTCCCTTCCCGTGACCTCTGACACCCCAGGCCTCCCCACAGTGCTCTTTATCAACCCTGCTTCACTTTGTTCTTTGGTTGGCTTCAAGGTCTGCACTGCACGTCAGCTTTCTCTCATCCTACCTTTTTATTCCTCACAAAGAAGCTCTGCCCACTGGAATTCTCTTGAAGCTCCTCCTGCTGGCTCTGAATCCTCCTCCAGCTAAGAGATAAAGACCTGCTCAGTGAGGATCAAGGGAATGGGAACTGGAGCCTGTGCAATGGGCAGGCTGGGGCCTACAGGACCCAGTAACTGGAGGCACTTCCTGAAATGGGTGAGGGAGAGCTGAGAAGGAGGAGGTGGAGGAGGGGGGCAGTGGGAGGAGCTCACCTTCGCTGAAGCTTGACTCCCCAGAATGCCACCAGGAGGACAACCAGGCAGAGCACCACGCCTAGGGCCACTCGCTTGCTGATGGTCGCTGCGCTATCTGATGGAGAAAGAAGGACCATCAGTCGATTGACACTGCCTCAATCAGATACCAGCCCACTCTGCCCTGAGGCATTTATTTGCCTTGTGGGGTCCTCCACTTCTCTCTACAGAACCCTGTGCTTTTTTGCCTGCATGATTTCTGCACCTGTGAGGACGTGATACAGAGAAAGAGGAAGAAGCCAGTCCCTGTCCCCTGGACCTGCTGCTATTTAGGGAGAAAGAGCTAGCTCTTTCTCACAAGAGCTCCTGCTTGTGAGACACACACGGAGCATGCAACCCTCATAAATGGGTGCAGTTTTGCCATACTATCAGAACTTCAAATCACTGTGCTTTGACCAGCAATTCCATGTAGGAATTTATCCTACAACTCTCCTTGCAGAGTGCCCTGAGCAAGAGACTGCACGTGCCTTGAGGAGGGCACTGGGTAGATAAGTTTTGCAGCATTCATACCCAGGAGTACAACGCAGCCCTTAGGAAAAGAGGCAGGTCTCCAGGGTGTCTGCTAAGTGGAGACCCAGGGAACATGTTTCTATACAATAAGTTACACTTCCAAATAACACACTTAGGCTATTTCCCTTTAGTGTTCAGCTTTGCAAGCGATGATCCTCTAAATTTAAAACCATGGCTCCAATCATAAATCTGAAAAATGTATAATACGTAAATTAAATATCTTCCCTGTGTGTCCAGGCTCTATAGAGTGTCGGTGCACACTCTCCAAGTGGTATTAGCACATGGAAAAAAAGAAAGTTCAAGGCGAAGTGTGAGCCCTGCCACCATTTGCATAACAAAGAAGAGTGTGTAGGCATAGATGTATAGATACATGTTGTGCACGGACAGAATTCTCTGGAAGGAGACGTAAACGGCTGCCAACAGTGAAGGCCTTGAGGGAAGGGGTAGAGTTCTCAGGGAGCACTAAAGGAGAAGTAGCTCTCTTTCCACTATTTACCTTTTCATGCTGTTTTAATTTTTTTACCATGTACTTGTATAGTTTTTAAAAAAAAAATCTCAGAAGATAAAAATAAGGGTGAGACAGAGAGAGAGAAAGAGGGAGCCAGTAGGGACTCCCTCTTTGTCTGAGAGGGAGTCCTCCTGGAGAGTCAGGAGAGATTGGGTGGGGAGGAGAGAAGGCCGGTGAGCTGCGCGGGGCAGAGGTGTGCCTTCGAGCACACAGGCTGGCCTGGCCTGGCAGGACTGAGAGGGCGGAAGTAGGGAAGAAGGGGTAGGTGGTCTGGNTATGCTTTCATTTATATGAAATGTCCAGAACAGGCAAATTTATAGAGACAGAAAGTAGATTACTGATTGCCTGAGGACTGGGAGTAGAAATGGGATTAACTGTAAATGAGCCTGAGGAATCTTACTGGGGTGATGAAAATGTTCTAAATTGGATTATAGTGACCATTGCATACCTCAGTAAATTTACTAAAAATCATTGAATTAATTGTACATGGGCGAATTTTATGATACATAAATTTTATCTCAAATAAGCTGCTACAATTAATGTTTAATTGTAAAAATTAGAATAAGATGTTGCTTCCTCTGGATGGAGCCCGCCCCATGCCAGGCACATGGCTTGGGGAGCAAAACACAGGCTAGAATTGAGTCAGTGTTTACCCTTCTGCCTGACACCCTTATGCAGTGAACAGCCTACCCATTTGCACAGGAGCTGCGTGACTAAATCAAAGGGTTGTGTGAGGATGAAATAAGACAACAGTTGTAAAGCACTTGGCATGGTGACTGTCACGTATTAGTGACTCTGTATTTGTTTGTGACTATTTCTGGTGTTGCTAGTATTTTCCCTCCCCCTGCTGAAGCATTTTTTTCCTCCCAACTTCCTGTTCACAGTTCTAATGCTGCCCCCTTGTGAGTTCCAAGTGGTATCACGGTGTCATTCTTTTGCGTCCTGCCTCCTCTCTCATGCAGAAATTCAAGTGTTCTCTCCTAGGAAATGACTTTGGAGTACCATCCCCCAAAGTGTGCCAGCAGAGCGGCAGTTCCTCTAGACTAGAAGCAAACTTCCCTCCTCCTTCCCCACAGTAAAAGGCCTCTGCCTGTAGCCCACTGGCCGATGACGGGCAGGTAAGGACCAAGGAGATGAGAGAGAGGTGGAGAGTCATGCTGCTGTGTGCAGTCAAGCTTACCTTTGTCCTGTGACCCAGCTCCTGGCCTCCATTCTTTTCTCCGACCGGGGTGCAGTCTTGCCAGACTCAATTCTTCCCATAAGTGGCTCCAGGCAAGGCTACTCAGCAGTTTATTTGGAGCAGCCCCCAGGGGCCTGGAGAAGCAGCTGGCCTCTCCTGCTGCATGTCCCTTCCCCCCAGGAGTGGCCACTACTTCTGGGATGTGCCCCCTTTTGTTCTTGCCACACAGGATGTCCCTCGGCCCGGCCCCACTCCCAAGTAGCCAGTCACCAATGGGTTGAGCACCACGCTCCAAGCACCTGTGAGCAGCCCCAGCTTCCGCCAGCGACCTCCCATGTCTGGGTACAGGAAGCCAGCCACATTGGAGGCATTGTAGGGTCCCAAGCAGAACAGCAGTGTGAGCAGAGCCCCGCCAGCCACCCAGGCTGCTCTTAGCTTTCGTCTGTGGCTCAGGCCTGAGCTGGCCAATGCCCGGAGGCAACCCGCATAGCAGAAAGCTGTGATGATCAGGGGCAGAAAGAAGAGCAGGAGAGAGAGGCTGAGGCGAGCAGGGCCCGCTGAGGCTGGGTCCCAGGCCTCCAGGCAGACGGGAGAGCCGTTCACCGGCGTGTTGATGCCGAGGGAGCTGGTGGTATTGTCCATCCAGCCTCCCGGAGCCTCCAGCCCAAAGACCAGCCCCAGGTGACAGAGGACAAGGGCCCATATGGCCACACACACACCCCAGGAATAGCAGGGCCTCCGGGCAGCTTGGTAGCCCAAGGGGAAGGCAGCCCCTAAGTAGCGGCCAACACTCAGGGCGGCCAGGAAGCCACCACCAGCATAGAGCGGAGCAAAGTGGACCAGGGCAAAGGCGGGACAGAGCGGGGCCGGCAGGGGCCAGGCTCCCGCAGCCAGGGCCTCCACCGCCTTCAGGGGCAGGGAGGCTGCCAGCAGGAGGTCGGAGCAGCCCAGGTGGAGGGCATAGACAAGGCTGGGGGTGAGGCGGAGCCGGGCGTGGGCCACGGCGCCCCCGATGGCCAGGGCGTTGAGCGGGAAGCCCAGCGTAAAGGCGGCCACATAGAGGGCAAAGGAGAGCTGCGGCGGCAGGTCCATGGGGCCTAGTGGCTTCCTCAGCTCCTGTGCTAGCGTGGGCCTGGGGAGGGGAGCTCCTGCAGTCACAAACTGGTTTCAGCTCTGCTCAGGGTATTTGCAGCCATCTGGAGACAGAGGCCCATAGAGGGAGGTAGCAGCCAGTTAGCACTGGAGCCTGGATTAGAAGAGAGACTGCTACCTCTCAGTCCCCTGCTTGCTTCCCGAGGTATCACCTCTTAAAATGAAGAGCGTGATCACAGAGTAACAGGAGAAGATAGAACAAAAGCGTGCAGGTCCCAGGACAGAAAGGGCCACTTGATTTCTGAGACTCTGGGAAGAGAAGGGGTAGAGAGAATTCAAAACAGAGTTAGGCTCCACAGTATGTGTTTTTCTTAAGACAAGAAGTTAGATTTCTGCTTTCATTCCCCACCTCCCAATCCCCTGGAAAGAGAAGGGTCTGCTCCCCTAAGTGGAGAGCCTACCCAGCAGTGGAGGGTTGGTGGCAATTCCTAGCCAAGGGAAAGAGAAGTTGGGGTTTGGGTAGGGTGGAGGTCGTGGCAAAGAGCGGGCGAAGGGGGTCCCCAAGGGAGAGCCCAAGAGAAGCCAGGTCCTGTCGTGTCACTAGGAATGAACTTAGCCGATTTCAGGGGCACCCTAAACAGGGGAACTGGGCTTCTGGGGAATAATTATTGGTGGAGAGAGGAGCCACAGGGAGAGGGACTCACCTCTTGGTGCTGCCAGATGTCTCTGAGGGAGGGTGGGTTGAGGGAGAGTGCCCGGAATGGGCAGAGAGCCGGAAGCGAGAGAAGGGCGGGGTGGCAGGGTCATTAGCCCAAGGTACTAGCAGCCTGGGTGAGCAGCTAATNTCTCTCTCTCTCTCTCAGCATAGAGCTGCCCCAAAGCCTTACTAGACTTTTACAAAGTTACATTTACATAGAGTTAAATTTAAGTCCCCATTTGCATGGCTGTGCCCTCAGTGACAGTCCCCCGGGAGCCAGGCAGGATGTGTCTACAGAGTGTGTCTCCGGTCTCAGCACAGACACAGCCTGTCCCACCTGCCCAGTCAACATTTCCCACGCATGGCATCGCATCGCCGTCCCCTCTCCCCCCATGCCCCCACTGGCTGTTTATCTCCTCAGGCTGTGTAGCCCCTGCCAAAGGCTGTTAGGTATCCAGTATCCGATATGCAGAAAGCTAAGCTGCTTGCTGAACGCAGGAAGGGGTCTGTCCCCAGGAGTAGTGGCTGTGCTGGCCTGGCCCAGGCCAAAAAGTGGGGGTGAGGGTTCTGAACTAAGGCAGACTCTCCCGGCAGAGCGGACACCAGCTCTTCAGGTGCTAACAGTGTTACACACAAAAAAGTCTTCGAGGTCACATCCATTTGAGAGAAGCTAGGTTAAAAAGAAGTTAAATAAAAGTCTTTATTGCAGGTCTTTCCAAACCCTTTAATCAACTGTGTGTGCATCATACATCTCCCAACATGGAGATTTGAGTATGGTACATTGCCCACACTTCTTCAGCCATGGGAACTGTTTTATGTTTTCCATGAAAAACATGGCTGGGTTGCAGGGTCTGTGTTCCGAGGGATTCATTTTGAATCCCCTTTGGGTTTCCACAAGGGCTGTGATAAGGGCCAGATTCCATGCCCGTGGCAAAGACTAGCCTCCAATATCTGGGCATTATGCCCCCTCTGCCAACAGCCACTCATTGGAAACTGCCTTAAGAACTCCAGGATGAGTGGGAGAGTACAGCTTCTCAGAGGAGGGCAGCCTGCTTACCCTAAGGAACGCCAAGCAGTCTCTGAGTCACAAGAAGTGGACTCCAGGCCTGGAATTGAAAGGCTGCTGAGGCACAGTGGAGTGTGGAGGCTGAAGACAGCACTCATTAGGCACGAAGGCTCAAAACAAGCGACCGCTGTCCAGTCCTGTGGTCTGCTCAACACAGGCCTGTTTAGGGCCTTGCAGAATCTCAGAGGTGGCCTGTGTGAGTCCATTCTTCCATCCTGGGCATCCAGTGACCCACCCAGCTCTCAGAAGACTTGCTGAGCCCGGCAGGAATGCTCAAAGACAGGGCTCGACGACATGTGGTAAGACGAGAGAGAGGGAGGGGGTCCCCACTGTGCTTTTAGCCCCAAGACCTGTGCCTGGCACATGGCAGCTGCTCCATACTTGCTTGTTGGATGCAAAAGAAAACAAAAGAGTCTTTACCTGTTTCCTGATGTCTTCCCTCTTCAGAGACCCTGGCAGCATCTGAGGGTGGAAGCAGAAGCACAGCGAAGTCTCTAGTGACTGATTTTCACCCTCCTTGGCCACACCCCCTGCCTCTCTGGCTATGAGGGTGACCCAGGAGCATGATGATCTGGGGTTAAGGGGAAAGAGGCAACAAAGGGGATGTGGTTTGGACTCAGATCGGAAGGAACACTCAAGTATCCATGGCCAGTTTTTTGTTTCAGTGTATGGAGTTTCTACATCAGATGAATTTCAGAGCTGGCTCTTCCACAACTTCCCCTCTATCCAGCTCTCAGGAAATGCTAAGGACTCAATACAAACAGATTAGAAGGGCCAACCTAATGAGAAAGAGGCAAGTCAACTTGAAAGTATTTGTCATTTAGTGACACTATCCAATTAATTATTCTCATTCCCATGACTTTCCCTCCATAAGCTTGAAAGGTAGGGAATCTAATCACTGACATTGAGGCTTCAGCCGCAGGAAGGAAAAAGATGACTTCTGTGAAGTGTTATTGAATGGGTAAGTCTTGAAACTAAAACCTCACCACTTTTTTTTTTTTTAAGATTTTTATTAGGGAGTTGGGGGAAGGGGAACAGACAAGTTGCTGTCCTTTTGTTCTTCAGTCTAGTTGTGGAGGATGTCGCTTCCCTGGCCCAAGTTGAGCTGTTGTTCAGCATCTTAGCTGTAGAGGGCAGTGTCACTGGCCCTCATATGTGGGATCCGAACCGGGCCCTCTGACATCCCAAGGCAGCTTTTAACTAACGTGCCACTCGGCCGGCCCTGCTCCATATACTCTTTGTCCTCCAGTTTACTCACAATATACAGTACTAGGAAGACAATGCAAATGCTTATAATTCCACTCATCACTCTCTTCATTAGCAGCCACAGTTTGTAAGTGTGTTGCTCATAGCCTTTATGTAGAAGTTCTGAGACCCATATCTTTCTGCATTTTACTTTCTGAGGAAATTGTTTGGACATCTTTCTGCTTGCAGCTTAAAAGAAAAGGACTGTGAAAAGATATTAGCGAGCCAATTTAAACCATTGCAAGGGATGGAGACAATTACTGGTACTTCAATCAAGTGGGAGGCATT